GGAATACTCCTCTGACCTCTACAGTCTACTCGTCCGATTTGTTGCAGGGCCACTATGTGATCGCTATGGCCCACGTTTGGTCTTCGTGGGACTACTCATTTGCGGAGCCATTCCTACAGCCATGGCTGGTCTGGTTACTGGCCCCAAGGGCCTGATTGCCCTCCGATTTTTCGTTGGAATTCTGGGAGGAACCTTCGTCCCATGCCAGGTCTGGTGCACTGGTTTCTTCGACAAGAGTATTGTCGGTACTGCCAATTCCCTCGCCGGAGGCTGGGGTAATGCAGGTGGAGGTATCACATAGTAGGTGCCCCCCTTTCTCCTTTGCCTCCTATGAATATACTAACAAATCAATTCAGCTTTTTGATGCCCGCCATCTACGACTCTCTCGTCCACACCAGCGGCCTCCCTTCTCACAAAGCGTGGCGTGTCGCCTACGTCATCCCATTCATTATCATCACCTTTGTCGCGCTATGCATGTTGTTCCTCTGCGAGGATACACCAACAGGAAAGTGGTCTGAGAGACACCTCTGGGCAAAAGAGTCCAATGGTACCACCGTGGCCTCTGACGGCAACATCGTCGATATCAACTCCGGCGCTTTTACCAGCGGAATGACAACCCCCCACAACGCCGCAACAATCGACATCGAAAAAAAAGGTGCCCAGACACCACAAATCTCAGACGCCGATACATCCACAATAGGCCAAATGGACCTCTTCAAACAAGATACAGTCGTCTCCCCAACTCGCCGAGAAGCCCTGAGCGTGGCTCTGAGTCTATCCACCATGGCCCTGGCAATCCCCTACGCTTGTTCATTCGGCTCAGAGCTTGCAGTCAACTCCATCCTGGGATCTTACTACACAGAGAACTTCCCAAACATGGGCCAAACAGAATCGGGACAGTGGGCTGCCATGTTCGGCCTCCTGAATGTCGTCTTCCGACCCGCAGGTGGACTATTCGGTGACTTGGTTTACCAGTACACAGACAAGGTCTGGTCCAAGAAGCTTCTGATTACCTTTTTGGGAGTCTCGATGGGAGCTTTCCAGCTTGCGATCGGGTTATCGAACCCATCCACGGAGGCAGCTATGTTCGGTCTTATCGCCGGACTGGCTTTCTTCCTAGAAGCCTCCAATGGAGCCAATTTTGCTCTTGTGCCTCATGTGCATCCTTTTGCCAATGGTATTGTTTCTGGTATTGTTGGTGGTTTCGGTAACCTTGGAGGAATTGTCTTTGCTATTATATTCAGATACAACGGGTCAGACTATGCGCGATCGATGTGGATCATCGGTGTTATATCTCTGGTGGCTAATATGGCCGTTTCCTGGATTCACCCTGTTCCTAAGAGTCAGATTCTGTCATGAGAGTGATTTTTTGTGCTTTTTTATAATTACGGATACCAATTTGATCTACTGCTATTTTGCGATACATTCAAGTTTCTATGTGTATTCCATTGAGGATAGTGCATTCTCCAATACTAAGCACAGTTTAGGTTAGTTGAATTTAATTTATCCAATCCATGTAGTAGTAGTAAATAGTTATCATGCTCCATGTGTTTTCATGTATTATCACCACATGGATTCAAGCTCCAGCCTCTATGCATATGAATAGATGCCAAGCTCTTCCCGGGTTAGCGCACTCCGAGTCCGGGTTGAAGCTAGAGCGAGACGAGCATAAAGGGCAAGTTTATTTCCTCTGTTTTTTTTATTACATTCCGCTCTAATTCCAAAGGTTCGAGGCTTAATTCGATTTACATATTGAACATTTCGTCATGGCTCAACCTCAACCCCGCCGCTTCGCCCAGATCGTGCACCTCAAGCCCTCCGCTGTCGCGGAATACAAAGAGTGTCATGCCAATGTTTGGCCTGAGATCCTTCAAAAGATCAAGGAGTGTAACATCGTAGACTGTGAGTTTCGATATCAAAAATATGCATAAACATACTGCATGTTCAAATTGGCTGACATGGTGTATTTGCGCCGATCCAGACTCAATCTACTTCGATAACGATCGGACTTTATTCGCGACCTTCAAGTATGTCGGCACAGATATCGAGGCTGATATGGAGAGCATGCGGTCATTGCCGAAGATGAGAGAGTGGTGGGCTATGACTGATGAGATGCAGGTATGTTGAGGATTTAACACAAATCGAAAGATACAGACGCTAATTCAAAGCACCTGGTATTAGGAGAGCCCTATTCCCGGAGCAGTGAGCAGTGCGGATGGTCCAGGGTGGTGGAAGCCCTTGGAAGAGGTCTTTCACACAGAGTAAAACTTTCGGCCATTGCGAAGATTGCTGAACCTGTACATAGCAACAGATTCTCTGTTAACAGGCAATCATCGGAAAAATTGGTCGATCTTTCTTTGTTTTGTGTCATGAGCGGCGGTTCCAACGCCACCCCTAGTTCGATGGAGATTGGCAAGATGTTTTTTATCGTCAATACCCAGGACAACAAATGCGAAGTTTGGCATAACAGTAGGTAGCATGGTCCTTTCTGTCGGGTTTGGGGTAATCAGTATCGTCATGTAGCCGGTATTTGACCAGACAGGCTTCGTATGAAGCGTAGCCATGTTGGTGTCACAAATTCCGGGAGCAACTTTGGTGTCTGCTGGGCTGGAGATCTCAATAAAATATGTCCATAGCTCTTGGAGGATGACACCGTGGGCAACAACTGCAATGTTTTGTCGACCGTGTGGGTCACGCATCAATATTGGAAGCAGGTGTTCGTCGAAAAAGCTTTTTGCTCTCTTTCTCATCGACTCTTTTGTCTCAGGGATTACCCAGTCTCGCGGCCTTGGCGATGGAGAAGGGGTTTTCCAGAAGCAGCCTTCCATCGATCCGTAATCTTTCTCTCTTAAATTCGGTGTTAATATCGGTTGCAAGGGTGTTTCACCGGCGAGTGGAACTTGCGCACGGCAGACTCCCTCGGCTGTGATTCTTGCTCGGCTCAGATCTGAAGAGAACACCGCCATGAATTTAGTCGAATTGGAGATGAAATGATGAGCAAGGCAATTGATCTGAGCCATCCCATGGTTGGTCAGTGCCGAATCGGTGGTGCCCGCCCTATCGCACGAAGTCAGAGTCAGGTGGGAACTCCAATTCAGAAATATGGGTTCCTACAGGACTTTTCCAACATTATGTACTGTTTCCGCATGGCGGATTAGATATAGCTGCATTGCGAGAAAAGATGCTGGTAAGATTGAAGCAACTGGGGGTTGGATTCTGGGAGAGGGTTCTATATAATTAAGGTCATAGAAACAAACATCGTGGCCTTAGGGCCATCAGAATATTTTTTGTTGTGTTGGAAACAAACTGGCCATTACATGACGCACTCAAAACGCTAGCCGTTTTAGGAAATATCTGTTGCCTCAGGATTCAGGAAATATTTAGTCTCTATCTACATTTTTTTATGTCGAATTTACTCACAAAGTTACTGACCTTCTTCTATCTCAAAATGTAGAAAACTCCCCATGGTAAAAGAACCACCAAGTTATACCTAGGTACATAGTGGCATAGGTGGAGATTTTTAGTATAGCTGTCCCCCAACCGCCCCCACCTATAACACCAGCTGGCAGCTGGGCATTCTACCTACACCCGCCTAACACTAGTACATAACTACATTTTCGTATATATTTCTGTCGATTACCAATCTCATAGTACGGAAGGCGGTATCACCAAGTTCCGAGCCAAAGAGTCACCTTTTCGGATGGCCGCGATTTCCGATCCGTTCAAGCCCATAGGAAATGATAATTGGAACTTAAAAACGTGGTTTATCCCGTTCAATTTACATCGACTACATCGGTTTACGTTCGCTATATACGCATAATTCTTCGTTTCTACAGAAATATGTCTGATTTTACACAGAGCCCATCGAATCTACCACTAGTAGCGAAGTCCGCCATCGTTACTGGGGCTACCCGTGGAATAGGACAGGAAATTGCCCGAAAACTTGCTATTCTTGGGGCAAATGTTGCTTTGGTTTACGTTTCAAGTAATTCTAGATCAACAGCACTCGAAATGGTTGACGAGTTCACAGCTCAAGGCCGCAAATGCTGCGCAATTCAAGCTGATCTATCGTCGGGGACCTGTGGAGAAGCAATTGTCAGACAGGCTCTTCAAGGCCTTGGGGTTGAGACCATCGAACTGTTGATTAATAATGCGGCCATTGCTCAAACACCCGCCAGTGTTGAAGAATCATTGGACCAAGATGAATTTGAAAAGTAAGTCATTCTATTCACGGCCTGCGGGGGGATCCGAAGATTGCTAACGAGATCAGGATCATGCACATCAACGTACGGGCTCCTATCCTTTTGGTCCAGGCGTTGCTTCCGCATCTGGGATCGCAGGGGAACAGAATCATCAATATGTAAGTGGTCTTACCCTATTGCTTTCCTGTATTCTCAACCATTAACATTCTTTTCAGTTCCTCAATTGGTTCTAGGTTAAATTTTCAAGGATACGGCGTTTATTCAGCAAGCAAGGCCGCTTTGGAGTCTTTGACTCGTACTTGGGCTCGAGAACTTGGCATCAAGTATCATCTCACCTGTAACGCCGTTTTGGTAGGACCCACAGCGACACCTGACGCTCCCAATAGTGAGGCGAGAGCCGCTGCCAAAGGGCTTGCTACCGCAGAGCGAAGACTCGGGACACCTCGAGACGTTGCCGATGTGGTCACCTGGCTGTCGGGAGAAGACTCTCGGTGGGTCAATGGCGACTTGATTGGGTCTAACGGGGGAGCTTTTATGCTATGATTATCTCTGCCTACTTCGACGTGTCAAGGTCGAGTCAGATCATAGTAGAACTTTATATACATATTATTACTCCGCGAGATTGAACTATGCTAGAAACGACAACCTCTCAACCCGCATATCTATTATATCTTCCATTTAGTTGGTTTGAGTAAGCTAATTCATTAAACGGATGTAGTGATTATATTAAAGATGAAAAAAAAGAAAAAACAGATTTCGTGTACCTAGAACCATACACGTTATTCCGTCTACTCGTGTTTATACATCTATTCGCCTCGAAGGCGATTTCGCGGTAGAAAAGGACACACAATATTCTGTGACCTTCGTGATTCCCGTTGCATTTTGATACTGGGTTTCGCCGCCCTGACAAGACGGGAGTATCTGGCCCGTGCTATCCTCCGAGGGTCGGTTTTTGGAATCGCCAGTTTGGTTCATGCCAATGCTGCCCTTGGTATCAGGGTACGCATTAAGACGGGACCAGTTGTTTCGAGGCCGCGATGTGGCTCTAAGTTCCGAGCTCCTGGCATGCGAGCTTCCATAGCTGTCGGTCCCACTATCTAAGGAAAAGAAGGAGGGAAAGATCCTAGCAAGTGGCATCCACATCATTGGCAGGCAGGCACAGGTGATCGCCACGTTTTCTTCGAGCATCGTCCATACCGAGGAGGTGATATCGTCTGTAAACGTATCTCGTAAGTGCCTAAGCAAAAGTAACTCGGAGAGGATGATGACACTCACAGGTAGGGTCAGGACTTGTGGACGAGAAGTCCAGGGTCTGCATCCGGACAATGCTTGTAACGACGACACTTGGGAATTTCTGGTCAGTCTTGAGTTGGCGCCTTCGGCTGCGGCTGTGGCACCAAGGTATCGAGGACATACAAAGAGCCAAGGGCAAATATAATCATCAGAGCGATTTTCCGCTTTAATATTATCTTCGACTTGTAGAGTGGATACATCGGCAGCGTCAATATGATGATGTCGGTCGCTATTGAAAAGCCGGCATTGGCGTACCAGTTGGTGGTTATGTTGATGCATGATCCTGGAATGGTCTTGTTCCAGGCTCGGGCAACTGGCGTGCATTGGAATACAGAGGCGAAGAAGGCGCCCACCATATAGGAGGTGATGATAACCAAGAGCACATAACAGGTGATGCGAAACCAACGCTGGATGAAAATGCGTAGATATAGCATCAGAATAGACATCTTTGTCATGTTCATGGTAAGCTTGTAGAAAGCTTGACTAACGAAAAAGAGCTGCCAGGCCTGAAGTTAGCAGCCTATATAACCTTGAGAATCTAGCGCTCCGTGGCCACAACATAGACGTAAAGGAGGGCGGCGAGAACAACTCCCAACGTACCTTCATGGTCATTAGCCTGTGCGGTGTTGTAATATTCGCAATGTGTTGGCCAAAGCCATAGGTGCAGGCCGCCAGCATGAAGGACATGACGATAACCGCAAACATCTGTTAATATAAGTGTTAGGTCTGTATGAGACAGCTCAATTTCACGCATGAAGAACTCACGGAAGACACCAAAATGGTCCAGTCGTCCAAGCCCAGACCCGACTTAGACTTGGCTCGGGACCACAATCGGATCGCCACAAAGGCCGGCGTGGTGACGAGGAAGACGATACATGGCACTTGGATCTCAAAAGCCCTGCTTGGCCCTGGAGTGTTTTTAGACATAGCAGATTGCTAGAGGTCGCCTAGACGTAGATAGTACATATGATCTTATAGAACTGATTAAGACGAAGGTCAACACATATTTTCTCATCATTTTTCCACGCATAATTAGATTATTTTCCGCATTACCGGCGGGATAGCGTGTTAGCGTGTTATGCAGTACAACATAGAGTTACATCGACATTGACAAGGGTCTTATTAGTGGAAGTCTTCGCACTCTACTCCGTAGCGCGCCCTAATCGGGGCATTCACCCGTTTTATCCGAGATCATTGTAAATATAAAAAGAAGGCATCGAAGGCTAGGGTGTTGCAAGATGTGTACGTTATTAATTTCCCGCTGTATGGCGTTAAAGGCGCTAGTTTGGGAATTGTTGGGGGCCAATTCAGAATTAAACAGTCGATCGATGTCAATCAAGTAACATGTACATACCAAGCCACATAGAACCAAATACTTCTATAGTAGACGAAATATTATCAAGAAGATTACCTGTTGGATTGCTTGAGGTTGGACCAGGTGAACTGGGGATTACTCAGCACAGTGCCCGGCCCTGATGCCTGACTACACCAAGTACGGCTAGCGAAATTGCAGTTGATTAAAAACACCTGTGAATGAAAGATTAAAAAGCCCGTATGCTTCCGGTCGAAAAGCGAAACAGGAAAGGTTGCACCCCGTACGCCGTACGGAGTACGGAGTAATCAGCCCCTATATAACTAACCACATACAGCTCAAGGTAGTAACGTGCCCCTGGCTCTGGTGCGACACTGGTCTCCGCCTTGATTTTACACTAAAATAAATCTCAAGCTGCTATATATATGTTTGCATCAGGAGACAACTAATTCTCTTTTTTCTTATACGATTGATACGACTGGTAGAGAGCCACCGATTTAAACGAGAGTCACTACAGTCACTACAGTCACTAGGAGAACTTGGTTCTTTTCCAAACAACCACACCTGCACCATGAAGATCTTCTCCGTCTTCAGTGCCTTGTCAGCGGTGCTATCTTTTGCGGGCATTGTCTCCGCGCAGTCCGACCCTGACCCGATTGGCACCATCTATGATGGCCATGTGCCAGCCGACCTATACGGATCTAGCTACCCCTACCCTTGGCCGGTGAAGCTGTTCAACTTCTCCAATCAACGCCAAAACCTTACAATGGCGTTCATGGACATACCGCCAAAGAAACAAAATAAGCATGAAAAGACAGCGATCTTGCTGCACGGCGGGAACTTCTGCGGCGTCACATGGTCCGACACCGCGCGACACCTGTCGGCCTCCGGATACCGAGTTATCCTGCCCGACGACATCGGCTTCTGCAAATCGAGCAAGCCCCAGGGTTATTCTTACAATGTACAACAGCAGGCGTTGAACATCCACAGTCTGCTCACTGCGCTAGGCATCGATCAAGTCACTGTGATTGGCCATTCGATGGGTGGCATGATCGCCGCCCGCTACGGTCTCATGTACCCGGCCAACGTTCAACAGCTCGTCCTTGTCGATCCACTGGGACTGGAGGACTGGGTAGCCAAGGGTGTGCCCTATTTATCAATCGATGCAACATATGAGAGCCAGATTGTGCAGAACTTTACCACTCTCAAGGGGTATGAGCAGGCCAGCTACTTCCACGGTGCCCCCTGGAAGCCTGAGTATGATACCTGGGTCCACATGCTAGCCGATATCTATGCCGGTGACTATGGCTCCGAGTATTCGTACGTGATGGCCCTCGTCACCGATGCCTTGCTCAGCCAACCTATCATCTACCAACTGCCTCTGCTACAGACACGTACCTACCTCATGGTAGGAGAGAACGACATTACGGCGCTTGGTAAAGCATGGTCATCCCCTGCTGTTGCCGCAAAGTTGGGCCATTATTCTGAACTCGGTCCTGCTGCCGCAGCCATGATCCCCAACTCCACGTTCCACATGTTCCCCGGTCTAGGCCATGCGCCCTTCCTCCAAGACCCTAAAGCATTCTACAGTGTGCTATTTTCTTGGCTAGATTAACTGAGACTGGCGATTGGTACACCATATCATTTGATACAACATGTACTAGACGTACGGGAACCATGTTGTAAATACTTTTTATGTCCTAAGCCATATATATCTATGGTTACCAGGACGATGAAAAAAAGCCTTCTCATACTAAGAGTGAGGAGACATTATATCAAATAATGTACATAGAGACACTTTAGAATAACCCTGCTAAAAGCAAATTCCTCGAATTTCGGCTAAATCGAGTTGCTTAAAGCGCGAAACTGAAATATCTGGTTCACATTGATTGGTTTGAACTTGCATGGACCCTTGAGTGTTTCCCAGTGCCTTCCAATGTTTGAGCAAGATCATCTCATCTGGTCACCTTGTTATCACCAATTTTGTATGTAAAACGCAACACCTCGTTTCTTCACTCTTCACCCACCTTTCAGCTCTGCTCTCTTCATCTTTCTTCAGCTTATCTCATAGCTCATCCATCTTTCGTGAATATGTCTGATCAGGCCCCCGACTCAAGTGGTATGCCAATTATGAAAATCATTTCTTTGGTTGCTAATGCTAATTCTCGACTTGCTAGGCCCTGGCCCTGGCCCATCTTCATCTTCGTCTCCACTGCCCCCAATATCTCCCGAGCCAACATGGTCTACCTCCGCCAGCGACGCAATAACCCAGGATCGACAAAGCCCTCCTAGATTGGTGTCGTTAACGCTATCTGATCAGCTAGTTCTACTGCAAATCTGCCTTGTTTACAAATACCTCTACACAGAACGGCGAGGAAATGCTGATTATTGGCAATGTGTTGCTTCCCACTTTTGGGATATCTCAGGCTGGAGCTGGGCTCGTGTAAGAAATTACGTGCAGCACAACATCCGACGTTATCGTGCGGATCCTCTCAACGTGCGCGACAACCCTGAAGGTCAAATGAAACAACTCTTGCGGGAATTCATTGCCCACATAGACAGCGTCAACAGGCCGGTCCCTCAAATTCAAACCCAACGCCCACTCCCACTCCCATCCTCTTCCTCGCATCCCCAGCATACCATCCATGGTAATTCGCCTGTGGACACGTACTCTCGACCTCCTTCTATGAAAGATTCCGACCAAGAACTCATTGCGAAAAGCAAGGAAGCAGCAATGCGGGGTAACTTTGACGAGGCCAAGTCTCAATTGCTTCGGATCTCAAACAAAGCAGTTCTTGAAACACACCTCGAGGAATTGGACATGATCCGCAAAGATCAAATCCAAACCAACGAAGACATCGAAAGACAAGCCAAGGAAGCCGAGTTGAAGGATGATTGGCAAACGGCCAAGTCTCTGCTGTCTCGCATTGTGGGCGAGGATGGTCCTTTCCTTCTTCTGGCATTGGAATACAGTCGAGCACGGATAGAATGGGACGTTCCCAAAGCAGAAGAAGCGATGGGGCAGCTTAAGAGGAAATACCCCGATCCACGCCTTGAGCAAGTGGAGCTTGACGAGAATTATGTGAATGCAGATATGTCTGGCAACCCGCAGAGGGTCGGTCACTATCGTGGGTTGCTTCGTGCCAACAAAAGGAAGATCGGCACCCTCTGGGAAGAACCCGATGACTTCCGCAAGGTATTCCAGATGATGGCTGAAGAGATGCGCCAAGCTCGTGACAAGGCTTGGTATGCGCGCCCAGCTCCAGCTGGTGAGACAGAGCCTCAATCTCAACCTCAACTTAAGGCACTCAATATCGATGAAGGACTCCGTATGCTAGAAAGGGCGCGGGCAGAAATCGAATCTCAACCGGATACTACCCAAGAACTCCGGCTGTTGGAAATGGCACAGACGGCGCTAATTGATGGACATGACAAGGCCAAAGCTCTCCTATCCCAGGGATCGAGCGAAGAATGCCAAGAAGCCCTCCAAGCATTGGAGCAAAGTGCGTCACAGCTTGTCGCCGACTTTGAGGAGGCTGAGACTTCACTGATCGCCCAGACTAAGGAGGATGAGCCATGTCGATTGACACCCGAGCACCAAATGGCATTGGTGGTTCTTATGGAAGCCGAGGCAAAAGCGAATGAAGAGAAGGTCGAATCTCTACTGGCTCAACTCCCGAGGAATAGTAGTGAGACCAGGAGCCTCCGCAAGGAATGGGATGAAGTGTTTGCCAAGAAGAGCCGCTACCTTGCAACCTGCAGGGCTACACTTCTCGCCGGGGGAAGTTTGGAAGATGTTGAACCAGAGCAGTAACTCGAATCAAGCATCAAGAACGTTGGTGACGATGGGCCAGGTGGAGTGATTGGAGGCAGAACGAATCGATGGAATACTATGTTCATTGTAGAAAGATGAGCAGAGCAAAGCCCCGATATCTGTAGTTTAACATGAATATTTTGCCTCGACCTATTTCAATCAAGTCATCCTCAAGACTCCTCTAACTCCCTCACATTCAATTCCGGTGAGCCGATTTTTTCGTCACCGGGAATTCGAAATTCCCCAGACGTATCTAGCCCAGAGCGCCAATCTTCCGCAGCTGGTGGGCTCCATTCCGCAGCACTATCGAGTACCCCGTCAGCACAAGCAAGAACCAGCGGTGACCAAAGACCATCAACTAGAGATCCCTACCCATGTTCCTGATCCTCGACCTCCTTCGTCCACTGCTCGGGAAGCGGCGGGCGCAGTGTATCTGGCGCGAGCGCCGTATTCAAGCCCTCGGGCCTCGCAGTTCGCCCCATATTATAGTGCGCGTAATTTGAATCGGATTCCGGCCCGGGGGTCTCTTCGTCGTTCACATTCGGAGCTGATTCTGGCGTTTGGGGTTCGAGCGGGGTATCGGCGGATTGGTCTTCGACAGCAACGTCAGAGCTCTCATGAGCTATCCGACGTCCAATTGGTGTCGATGTACCATTGGCTCTGCTTGTTCTGCTTGTTCTGCCATTGTCCGAACCCTTTGTGGATTGCTTGCGGGTGTTGTGGTTCTGGTTCTGGTTCTGAGGTGTCTCTGCCCGTTGAGGGGTTCCGCACCAAGGGCAATCGAATTTGTCTGCGTAGGCGCGGTGCCAGCTTGAGTGTGTATGTTGTTGATATCTTCTCATGATGGAATATGTGATGTGTGGATATAGACTATGTACGGAGTAGGTGGGAAAGAGATATATATATACAAGGGATGAAATAGTAATTGCTTTTTTTCACCTTTTCGGGGACCAAATAGCTTTTTAAAGCGGGGATTGATGGCAAACAATGGAACTATCTAGCCTTTTATTTTTTATTCTTTTTCTTTTGCTTCCTTACTGAACAGCCACCAACTTGCTGTGCTGGCAATGCACTCGTGGGGTTGGGGGCCACTTATCACATTGGCGCTTGTGCATGGGGTCGATCTAATTTTTATTAGGCTACTTGGTACTTTCTTTACATTCATAAGTCCAATGGCATGATGCACTTACAAATAACCATACACTCATACAAGCATACAAACATACAAGCATAAAGATTTAAAACTACACATTACAAAGTATAGATCCCAGCTACAGGCAGATGCAAGGAGGCAAATGAGGGAACAAAGACAGATGGACATTGGGGGAGTAGTTAGAACTGAGTAAAGAAAATTGCCTTAAATGAACACCGAACTAATTGCTCCCAGGAATAAAGACCCCTTCCAATAATAAAGATAAAAAGTGGTATGTGCCATGATCCGTCAAAAACTACATCACATGAATAAAACGCCGGCAGTAGCCTGTTCCCTCGATTGGAAATATTGGTAGGAACTTTTGGTCAGAAAGATAGGAAGCGAGACGCTTAAGCAGCAAGCTTGCGGATCTTCTCCTCGACGCGAGCCTTGCGCTCGGTGTGGGTGAGGCGGTTGACTCTGTACTTCTTGGACTCGGCCTTCCACTCCTCCTTGGTCTTCTTGGGACCAGCATCCTCATCGGCCTTGAAGGGATCCTCACGGATGGCCTTGTGGGCATCGGAGTAGATCTCCTCGAGGTCACCAGCGTCAATCTCGTTCTCAATGTACTTGATGAACTGGGACTTGTAGCGCTCCTCATCCTCATCGGCGAGGGTCTCCATGTACTCAGATACGTGGGAACCGTGGATGTAGTTCTTGAGGGTCTCGGCGTCGAGCTCCTCGGACTCGATGTCGTAACCGGGGAAACGGCGGTCGGAGTGGGGGATGAAGATACCACCGTCGGAGGCACCCTTCATGGCAGCGAAGACACGGTTACCGGTGGAGGTGCGGACAAGACCAACATCGAGGAAGGCCTTGAAGGGGCGGCGCTCGCCATCATCGGTCTCGATGGCCTCGGTGAGAGTGTGCTCACCGGTAGCCTCCTCGACACCCTTGAACTGCTCGTCAATGTTGAGCTTCTTGAGGACACGACGGGCAAGGAGAAGACCGGTGGCGTAGGCAGCAGCCCAGTTGGTAAGACCCTGGTCAATGCCGTACTTGGGGAGCTCGTGGGCGTAGGCAGCGGCGAGAACCTTGTCACCGGTGACCTCAGAGTAGACGATCTGGGTGATGATGTCGCGGTTGGTGAAGCGAACAACCATGCGGTACTTGGGCGCGTTGTACTTGTTCTTGGCCTGGGTGATCAGGCGCTTGCGAGCATAGTAGTCGGTCTTACCCTCGCGGCGGCGACGGTACTTAGTCTGGAAGCGACTATAGTTGGAAAAGTCAGTAAACAGTGACCTCATGGAGAAGATTATCGGTAAAGGATTTTTTAACTCACCTGAAGTAGGCGTTCGACTTGACGTTCTTGGTGAAAGGCTATAAAGCGAGATCGCGAGTCAGCAATTAACGCTTCAGAAATTACGCCGAAGCAACTTGCAGGGACCCGGCTCCGATGGGAATCGGAGAGGAAATAAAATGCAAAAGGAATGCATAATGACTTTTCAGCCATCAGTCGAACTCACCATTTTGACGGGGTGTCGAGGGGCGCTGGAGATGGACGAAGAAGAGGAAGTGAGAAATTTCGTGGGTCGACTTTGTGCGGGATTTCGCTTAGCGTGTGGCTGCATCCCCCGCCAGAAAATGAGGTCGGCGACGAGTGGAACATTATTTTTGGCACTTCTTGACTATGGAACAAACAAGAAAATTGATAATAAATCCAAAAGAATTGGGAAAATTAAGAAAATGTAGGAAATGTAGAAAATGTTATAGAATTCTTATTCTCCATCCTTATTCTCCATCTTCACTACATATGATCCTGATATTCTTCTCGAAATAACTAGTGTTTCTATGTATAACGCCTCACAATCGGGCCTTGTCCTCGTCCAGCAACTGAAGGCCTGTGATCTTCTCTAGTTCCCTGACCGCATCTTGGGTCTTTCCAAGTGTTACTTTGACCGTACGCATGCCGGCTTTCTTCGCCCCCTTCAAGTTCTCGCCAATATCATCGAAGAACACAACATCGTCGGGATTAGATCCGGCCAGTCCTCGCCTCTTAGCTAAAGTGTCCATCTCCTGTAACGCCACCTGGTAGATTTTCGGGTCAGGTTTGCGGAGGCCTGTGTGCGCAGATGAGATAAAGAAATCGAATTGCTTCTTGACATCGGATGCATTATTGTATTCATGTCCGTCGGGGAATATAACAGTGTTGGATAGAGCGCCCATCAGGAACTGTCCCGACTCTTTCAATTTCTTCAGAGCTGGGTACATATATCGGTCTGGTGTACGAGATATCCGCATCATCTCCCAGAATAACCATTCTGCATCCACCGTCGGCAGTGGAGGGATGGTGGAACTATCTGTGCCTTGCTTCTTTTGAAGTTGTTGGTGGAATTGTGTCCATAGTTCAGGGCTTCTTAGGTCTGCATTGAACCCCGCAAAGAAATCGGCGTCCATCTTGATGTCGCCCCGTTCGAGCTTGTGCCAGCTACCATTCGGCGCCGTTCTCGAGATACTGAAATTGACCCATCCTGGTGGTATGTTTTGGGAAATTTCATAGTCAAGAATAGCCTGGAATGGAGATACAACCTAAAGATTCGTCAGATATATGTATTGTCAAATTTCAGGTCAAGTGGCTGACTTACACACACGCCTCCAATGTCAAACAGTAGGCCCACCGGCCGCTTGATCTCTGTCATCTTAAGATGATAATGAGGTTTCTAGCGATAGTAGAGGTCGTTGTAAGATATGTGGCAGTTTAGTTCTAACTTGTGAGCTAAATGAGTTGTGATGACATTGGAATCACAACGAATTGAATTACTCTGAAGGCGATCTGGACCTAAAAGACGGTCAGATTGCCGAGGTACATACACTCCAGACCGAGGATATACTCCAGATCAAGAAACCCTAGAAACTCCATTATTGCGCTGCTCGAACCATACATTTACAAGTGAACTATCATTTAATCTATATTCTGGAATTCCTTTCTTTATTTTATGCTGGTTTATTGCTCAAATCGGGCTCGGCCATCTCGTAAAATCGCATTTGTAGAGGGACACGTGATGTCTTATCGATAAGAACGCGCTCACAGAAGATCGCGAGACTTTTGAAGACCCAGGAATGGTACTTCTTTAACACCATTTGGGCTGTGTCAGAAATGGATTCAACTCGAACTATATCTGAGTTGAAATCTGCATTTATCTGGAGCCAAGTCCGCATCTTCTCTGAGAGCCTCGATTTACCCGAAGACTGGCGAAACTATGCTGCTGAAACCACCGAAGGTGATCTAAGTGACAAGGTGATCGAAGATGTTCTACACAAAGGTCAGAATACGAATGGCAATTGAACAAGACAAATTATCTATTCCTTTGCACCCAGTTGCGTGATGAATATGATACTCATAGTCCCATAGTAAATGCAGCTGCTAAGCAGCACAATCGTGTTGTTTATTCCTCCCAAGCGATACACCATGTCGCCCAACAGATCGCAAACCTGTACTGGTCATCGGTTAGCCAAGAGGCACGAAGTCGGGATGCCTTTGCTCGAGGTATCGAAAAAACAACAGATTTATCAAGGGAAATGTAAGAATTCATCCATTTCTATACAAGGTATGACAACACTGACTATATGGATTAGCAACATCACAAAGATGCCTGTCACCTTGGAAAGCCAGGAAGCAAGCGAAGAAGAGCATACAAGGTCAGTTTAACACCGCATCCGGATTTTCTCCGATTGAAGTTTCACCTGCCTTACACCAGTCGCACAGATACCGGGAGCTCCGTGAGCGGCTCGCGAGTCTCGACAGTCAACGGCAGCAACGGCAACGGCGCCTTGATCAGTTACAACATCTTCGACGATTAGTCGAGCCATTCAAGGATCCCCAAAATGACATTCAACCCAATCTTATTACGAAGGATGGAGAACTTGTTCAAGAATTGGAGAAAATGCGCATGCTCGTAGCTAGAGTTGGAGGCCGGATTGCACAACAGAAAAGAAGCAGCGGTGTCCTTGAAAATTATGATTACTCACTTCCAGGCTCTGGTGAGAGATTGGAAGCCCTGTTGGATATGCCTTGACGAAACCAAAATACCCCATGCCCACAGCTGCATACAATGAACATTTGAAGTTACCTGCGATACGACATGATTATGCATATATTTTATCGATGGTAGTTTCCTTGCTTTTCTATTTGGATTTCAAGAGAAAACGTTGCCGCGGATACGATGTTCCAATATCTATGTACCTTCCATCATGCACATAGTATATACATGTATAGCCTCATGGATGTCAACAAAAGAACGTAAGGAAGGAAGGTACGTATCAATCACCGACAGCAGAAATTCAATTCTAGACTTTATAGTACACGTGCCCTTGCACCAAACATTCAAGATTTCATACTGGGCGAGGGCCCATTTTCTCTCCAAATCTCGACCGTCATTGATCCATTACACTTACACACTCGTCCTCCGCCGCTCGGGAAGAAATAGGCTTCGCCCCACCAATATGTTGGGAAACCAACTTCCCTAGATGAGTTTTCTTGTCGATTTTCTTTGCAGCCACATAGTTGTCATTTTCTATCCGAATGAGTACCCTCAAGAAGATGAAGGAGCTTGTTGGAATGGGGCAATCACGTGAACATTCGAGATCACGTGTTGACTCGGCGATGGCCCCACCTGCTAGCGTGAGCTCCCAGCACAACACGCTTGTCGGCTGCCTACTAGAGACCTGTGATTCCGATCAAATCTCCCTAAACGAGAGTGCTATTGATTCAGACCCGAGTGATAGTGACGATACTGTCCCTGATTTGAGTGCACCCGCCACAATCGAGGGCGACACTTCCCCCTCCCCTTCCAAGGCTTTCACGCGTGGGCATCGCCGTCGCTCCACGCACGTTACTCGCCGTGACCTTGAGAAGTTTCAATCGGAGGTCCTAGGAGTTGAAAACCACGCCTCTTGGTTCGACGAAGATAACGGCACCGGTACCCCACAAGCCTTTACCCCGGACGACCCTCAACTTGAGGAACTGAATCGCGCTTTCGCCGACGCCGACGTCTCTATGAACACAAACACCACAAATATGGCTACCAACGGTACCGGCTCCGGCAACTTCTCGGGTTACGTTGAAAACAGCACTGGCGCGATGAACATACCCAACATCCCTCCCCGCCAGGCTCCGTCTCCTTCTCCTTCCCACAATTCGGTCACCACCCAGGTCAATGGCGGCGGAATGGGCGCCATGGGTGCAGCAATTCCTATGAATGCTGGCCATCAGATGGATTTGCACCATCTCTATGAAATGGTTGTGGAATTGAGCGATGTGTTGAAGAACAACCGAGATGTGACCAAAAACATCGTCGCGAATGCGGAGGATATTGTGGTATGTGGGACCCACAATATGCATTCAAATTTGATATTCAGCTAACACAAATTTAGAAGAACGGTATTGTCGATAGCTCTAGCGCGAATGGCCAGCAGAGCGATAACCTCAGTATGTTGACCCCTGGGCAGATCGATTTACATCCTCGTTTACTAACGTCTCGAGCAGCCGCCCGGATTGCCGAACTCGAGCGTGCGCTGGCCAAGGAAAAGCTTGTCAGTGCGGATCACAAGCATCATCGCGAGGAAAACATGAAGATGATCCAGGAATTTGAAACTGCCGTGGGTATCATGGTCGAGCAAATCCGCAACTATTGCCAGAACAACAACATGCACTACCTTGCCCAGAAGAAGCATTACAACAATATTCTCCAAGCTGAGCGCGACGCCCATCTGGAAAGCCGACTCGACCGGGACTACTGGCATGCACAGACCATGAAATGTGCTGAAATGATCCGCACCGCTTACCGTCTCAAATGCGAGGAAGATGATGTGCCTACCCGTGTCATCTCTGGTCTGCAGAATGAAGTTCGCGCCTACCGCTTTGCACTTGGCATGGAACCTGAGAAGCCCGAGGAGGAATATGGCTGGGAATATCTTAAGACTATCCCCGGCCTGGAGTAAATAGAGGCTTTATGTGCGGAAGGACTACGGAATGTCCCTAATTCCCATGGTCCACTTGACGCTGTGATGACTGTTTCTTTTCATCGCATACCCCTCGGAGGCGTTTGTGCTTTTCTTTTTCTTTTTCTTTTTTTGTTGTCGGCTCGGCACTTTTTCCCCCCAAGACATGGTGGCGTTTTTAGGCGTTTTTACTATCGCGGATACCCGTATTTATTGAGCGTTATGGGTGTTTGACACCAGTATCCTCCCTTTTTTTTTTTATGTCGAAACTAAATTCATCTTTAACATCTTCACCCCACCTAATCCACTGTAAACTAGTACTTTATAGGTATGGAATACATACCTAGGTAGTTATAGTATGTTGTACTCCGTACTAGGATTTGTGTCTTCCGCCACCGGAAAACTGAACATTCTCCGGATTGGTTCAATTCCCACTTTGGTCTTTGCCCCTCAATGAAAATATACTTTTTCAATAAGTTCATTAGCCGTAAATTTGTAAATTTGTAAATTCATTATGTTACATGCTCACGTGCTCCGAACCCCCCCGATTATGTCACCTTAGTTACATGCTTCCAAGGATAATTAAGGTGAATCCGGAAAGTCTGCCAATGTTACTCTTCCTATCCCTTTTAGTAACCTCTTGCATGATTTCACTATGCATTACTTGATGAATCAAGCCATGCCATTTGGTTGTCGTTTACTGTAGGGGGTACTTCAAACACATCTGGAGAGCTCTCGGTCGCAGATCATACGGCATTTTATAGCATTTCCCACCATTTCCACCTTATTCGTTGTCACCGGGCCTCTAGTTTTGTCCACCTGATTCTCCTTTCGAATCGTTTTGCGCTCATCGGCGGGAAGTGGGGGACCAGCCAATTATGCGTCGTTCGATCTAGTCCTATCCAGTCATTGCGCTCTTTATACGACGCCACACCGCTGATAAACCCTCGACGACTTGCTGGGGATTGCGAAATCCCTTTATTTTTTGGTCTCTGACCTTTGAGGGATTTCAAAATGGAGGGAGTTCAGACTGTGGACGTGAGCTGGCTTCATCATTCACAAAAGGGTGAGTCCCACTTTCTATGCTAGTGTACCTCTCCAGCTCCCGGGTTATGACCGGGGTGTTGGGAGGTCCTCAAATTGGGACAGCTTCTGACACTCTCTTCAGATCATTTGTCTCGCACGAAGTCAGTATCAGCGAGCGATAAACCTGGTACAGAAGCAGAGCCAACAACCTCTCAACCTAACTCGCACCGGAGATCTCGTTCAAACAGCAACCCAGAACCGAAGCAAGCTCCCCAGAAAGATACAGCGCCAGTACAAGCGAAACCACCACCAGCCGAGAAGAACGAGGAGCAAAAGCCTTCTACTCCATCACCAGTGTCGCGGAAGACAGACCCCAAACCCATCGGACGACGAAACTCATGGATCTCTAGTCTAAGCTCGAAGTTTTCCTCTGGATCTACCCCACCGTCGCAACCTAGTCTAAAGGCCAGTCCCGCTAGTCCGAAAACAACCTCACCTCTCGAAACGCATAACCCATTCGGCGCCGCCTACTCCCCGAGGGACAAGGAAGAGGAGAAGAAAGACGATTCTAATCCCTTTACTTCGTCATCACCCAAGGGGCCCTCGTTTATTCACAATGCACTACGCAAGTTCTCGTCCAACTCGGGCGGGTTGCCCAAGTTGAATCCCAATGGCTCGATTTGTCCACGTCGCGTCATGAACATCGACCAAAGTCGGCACCGATGCAAGATTGCGGACTTGAACCAGGCCAAACTCAACCGAGTAGCGTTCTGTGTGGATGTTGAAATCGCAGGAATCTCCCATCGGGATGATGACGAGGAAGCTCCCCCAACAAATCAATTACGACAGCCTTTACCTGAGTCTACTCACTACAAGTCTAAGAAGGCTGATCTCAAGTCCAAAGAACAAGACGAAGCTGGAGCTTTGAAACATCCCCAGGCTACTCTCGCTGAGAAGGACAGCTTGCCTCCGGTTCCAGCTCCGGTTCCAGTCCCGGTTCCAGACCCGGCCACCGGCGATGCAAAGGCCCAGTCTAGTTCTCCCCCGACAAATGCCACCAGTCCTAGCGGGGAAGGTACTGATCCAACAAGGAAGCAAGAGAGGAAGAAACGGTCTGAGGCGGAGCGGAAAGAACGGAAGGAGAGAAAGCGAAGACAAGCAGTCGCAAATGGTTCGGTTCCATTACAACTCGATGCAGAGAATGACGAAGAATATTCTCGAGGTCCGGCACCAGCACCAGGTACACCTCCGTCCAAAACGCAAAGCCACCCGACAACCGATCCAGTGCGTATCTATCGCCGTTGTTGCCAGCTACGTGAGACACCTGTTCTCAAAAGAGTTGTTGATGAGATCTCCAAGCCATCATCAACACTGGCCGAGTCACCCGGCACGGTAGCAGCTTTGGATCTGAGCAATTTCCCCATGACCTCACAGGATTTGACAACATTCAGCGACTGGCTCGCGGTCGTTCCAGTCCGTAAACTCATCCTTGAAAACTGTGCATTGACAGATACTTCCGTTCGAGCTATCCTTTCAGCCCTACTTTCTACCAAGACGATTGAGCAGATGCGCTATCGACGAAGACGATCACGAAGACCAGGATCTCCAGACTCCAATGATCATGAACGATACGGTGTTGTGGAAAAGCTTTCTCTGAAGGACAATCTGAAGATAGGACGGGAGGGATGGCGCCACATCAGCCTTTTTATTCATCTGTCGAAATCGTTGAAAGCCATCGATTTGTCGGGTATTCCTTTCCCTCAAGGACAGGTTGCGATCGATGGTTCTGGGACAACGGACCAACCCCAGTCTCCTATGGCCGATGTGAGCATTATCTTCGCGAGTGCCCTGGCAGAACGCTTTGCTGGGGATCATCTTGAAGAATTGCTCATGAGCGAATGTAATCCTTCGGTCGATGCCGTAAAGCAAATCTGCCAGGCCACCACCAAAATGGGCCTGCGAAGACTTGGCTTTGCGAACAATGGGCTGACGAGAGAGGGCCTGGAGTATGTGGTCGAGTACCTGAAAGCCGGACAGTGTGAGGGACTGGATCTAGGTGGCAACGCTATAAAGGATGATCTTGATCTTGTCACGGAGGCGATCGAACCTGAAACACCGCTTTATGCGCTGAGTCTCGCGGATTGCTCCCTCAACCCGTCAGTGATTTCTCCACTGCTCCAATCGCTCGCGCAGATTCATAACCTCCGGTTCATCGATTTCTCTCACAATCGCGAATTATTCTCGTCTCAGCCTAACGCGCTGGGGGCTTTCCGTCGCTTCCTGCCGAAAATGCCGTCTCTGAAGCGCTTCCACCTCGCCGATGTCAACTTGTCACCAGATCATGTCATTGGTCTTGCTGAGGTATTGCCGGAGTGCCCCAGTCTGTGCCATCTCAATATTTTGGAGAATCAACAGATCGTGGATTTGGCTTCTACCACCGACCCCGTTGCCCAGGAAGAAGCATGTGCTGTGTATGCGTCAATGATGGCAGCTGTCCGTGTTTCACGGACAATCATTGCAGTCGACATCGATGTTCCCGTTGCAGAGAACAACGAAGTTGTTAAAGCTCTAGGATCACAGATTGTGGCTTACTCGCTGCGGAATCTTGAAGGCGGCGCCATCGCAGAGGAGCTTTCTGACTCTAATTGTCCACTTGTGGATGTCCCTGTACCAGACATTTTACAGCATATTGTCGGACATTCTGGTATTTCCGAAGAGCCTTATGATGATGAAGATGAGGCCGCCCCCGACGAGGATTATGTTATCGGCGGCACAGGTGTTGTCAAAGCATTGGGTGTTTGTCTCGGGAACCTGGACCAGCATGGTCTCGATGTTCTCGGGGAGCAGTCTTTACCAGCCAGTGGTACCACAACTCCCCGCCGCCGCAAGCCTCGAGGTGTTCCTACCAAGCGGCCTCGCGACATGTCGAAGAATCTACTGGAATCCGCGCGCAATATCAGAGTCCGGATTCAGTCGGCTCTTATTCGCGAAGATCGTGCTGGCAATGACGCGAATTATCGCCGCCTGCAATTTTTGGACATGACCTTGCATAGGATGATCCAACGCTTTGAGGATGAATACCCAGAAACTCGTATCATTCCTCAACTTCCGCCCGCTATCCCGGTCCCCGACACCATCTCCCAACATTCCGGTGATGACGATGGAAGCGGCTCTATCGGTGCTAGCGGTAATCTGAACAGTAGTCATCTTGAGGAGATTGGCGGCGACGAGGAAGACACCGACCAATATGCCGTTCGCCTTTCTCGCACCGGCTCCATGACTTCCCTCCACTCTCGCGCCATGACCTCCCAAGAAGGACACATCCACCGCATCGGCCAGAACCTCCGCCGCGACTTCCTCAAACCGTCTCTAGTTCCAGGCGACGGCGACGAAGATTTCGAGTACGAAGACGATAACTCGCACATTGTCGCTCTCCGGCAAAAGCTGGATCTCCTGCACGAGGAGCAGTCTCTGTCTCAATTCGATGATTTTGACGCCGACATGGCTTATAACCATCTCGGGACTACTGTCGATGAACTCTATGCTGCTCAGCAGCAAGACGCCGAAGGATTCGAGCGTTTCAAGCAGTCTCAGATTGCCGCCCAGATAAACAGTGGCATTCGTCCAAGGGATAATGTAAAGCCCAGGACAGGCTGCGATGAACCAGGGAGCAAGTCCTAAATTTTTCATTCATTATCATCTCGATTTACGAACTTGAACCCTTATGTATTTTTTGCCAACCCTTTGTTTTATTATACCTGTATATACTCCATGCGCGCATATACCTTCTCGCGCTCTTTCAACCCTAATCATCCGTGTGTATCAGATCGGAAATGGCGAAGAACATCGGACTAGTAGTATATACTATCAATTTAAGATTCATAGTATATTTTTCACTGAGAACCTTGGAAGTCTTTATGTTTGCTAAACTAATAGTATTCTCTCGATTGACGGTGAGTGGATACTGTCAGCTTTAAAGATGAAGCGGCCTTTGCGATGACAGAGCCCGACAGGCTTGACCCGTATGGTCGAGACTGAGCCGAATCGCGTACGTTGTACTCCGGTGTATGATATAGCTAATATTATTGTACCTTCTTACTCCGCTGAATTCTGAGAGGATTAACTAGTTAAGTGCTGGTTAACTAACTAGTTAATTTATCTCCGCGTTTTGGGCGAGTTTATAGTGTTTGCTGCCTTATGCCAATAGCATTACCAAAAGTGGGTTCCTCGGCTGAACATCCCCCAGTTTCCTGGGGTATCACATGTCACCTCCGTCATGGCAATGGACCCTTTCTCCTCAACTTCCTCAACCATTTCCACTCCCTCAAACCCTTCGACCCCCTCGACTCATTCAACGGCGGACATGTATGCACCCAAATTTGGCTGATAAGCATCCAACAGCTCCGCCATGGCCGCTCAGTCCAGACTACTACCGCCCGAACGTTCTATCAAGCAGATCCTCTCCAGCCTAACAACCCTCTACCTGCGAAACCGCACCCACATCTCACGCGCCGTATATCTCGCCCTCTTTGCTGCGCTTGCCAAACGAATCCACAATGCCATCTCCGAGCAGAAAGCCGCGTCACAGCAGGTAGACCTGCGCCGGCGGCCCGGCACCAGCAGTCTAGGTGATGAGGAACAACCCCGCAAGAAGCGCGTGGAGATCAACCGGGAATTCTTCAAGAACTTGCTCAGCTTACTCAAGATCGTCATACCCGGATGGCGAAGCAAGGAGCTACGACTGCTGGTGAGCCACAGTGTCTTCCTGGTGCTGCGGACAGTGCTTAGTTTGTACGTCGCCGAACTCGACGGAAGACTTGTGAGCAACTTGGTGCGCGGTAGAGGAAAGGATTTCTTGCTCGGTCTTTTTTGGTGGATGATTGTGGCTATCCCTGCTACGTTCACTAATTCTATGGTAAGCCCCCAGTGATGGGAGCCAGGTTTCCCCATCTGCGCTGCTGACATGCGGCCGTTACATACATTTGCTAACTCGATGCTTTGCCGTATTAGCTCTCCTACCACCAGTGCAAGCTTGCTCTCAGCTACCGCAAGCGTCTCACAGACTATATCCACGAAAAGTATCTGTCTAATATGACTTTCTATGCCATCTCCGCCTTGGACGATCGAATAAAGAATCCCGACCAACTCGTCACAGTCGATGTGTCTCGCTTCTCGGACAGTCTCGCAGAACTATATTCCAATTTAGCTAAGCCTATTCTCGATATGGCTATTTACAACTACTCGCTCTCGAAGAACGTGGGAGGCGAAGGGCTGTTCATCATGAGTCTGCTAGTGCAGCTGTCTGCGAACGTCATGCGTATGCTGACTCCACCATTTGGCAAATATGTTGCCGATGAGGCCCGACTAGAGGGCGAGTTCCGTTTCCTTCATTCACGGCTTATTGATTATAACGAAGAAATTGCGCTTTACCACGGCCACGAGGCCGAGAAGGATACCCTAGACAAGGGTTATTTCACGCTGATCAAGCATGTGAACCGCATTCTGCGCCGGCGGCTTTACCATGGATTTATGGAGGACTTTGTGATCAAGTATTTCTGGGGAGCTATGGGCTTAGTGCTTTGTAGTGTTCCTGTCTTCTTCAAGATTCCCGGGCAGGCTACCCATAGCATGGGAGACCACACAGAAAGTAAGTTATTGTCGTTTGATGTTGAACTTGTAGGTTCTGATCATCCCCAGGCTTCGTCACAAATCGTCGAATGCTGCTTTCCTCCTCGGATGCCTTTGGCCGATTAATGTTCTCCTACAAGGAGATCTCGGAGCTGGCTGGCCACACTTCGCGTGTCTCCTCATTGCTGGAGGTTATGGACGATCTCCTCGCTGGAAGGTTCGAAAAGAAGTTGGTATCTTCCGCTTCGACAGAAGAGAATGCACAGGTGTTGTCTGGTCGGGGTAAAGTCATAGAAAGCGACGCCATTGAGTTCACCGACGTACCGATCGTATCCCCAAACGGTGACGTATTGGTGCGAAAGCTGTCCTTCACTGTTAACCCCGGCGATCACCTTCTGATAGTTGGACCCAACGGGTGCGGCAAATCGTCTCTCTTCCGGATCCTAGGCGGGCTCTGGCCGGTATACGGGGGTACGGTGAAGAAACCTCCCTTCCAGGATATTTTCTACATTCCACAACGACCATATCTGTCCCGTGGGACTCTGCGGCAGCAAGTGATCTACCCAGATGGAGTGCGCGAGATGCGCGCCAAGGGTATCACTGACGCCGACCTCTACGAAGTCCTATCAGTGGTTGAGATCGCGTCTGTCGTAGACCGTCCTGGGGGGCTGGGATGCAGAGGAAGAATGGCGAGATGTTCTATCCGGTGGTCTGCAGCAGCGCATTGCTATGGCTCGGTTATTCTATCACCGACCCAAGTTCGCCATTTTGGATGAGTGCACATCTTCGGTGACGCTGGAAATTGAGAAAGTCATGTACGAGACTGCCAAGAAGCTTGGCACTACGCTCATGACTGTCTCGCACCGACGCAGTCTGTGGAAGTATCACCAGAAGATCCTGCAATTTGATGGACAGGGTGGATATATATTCACCGGTCTAGACTGGGAGCGGCGCTTAAAACTCGAAGAGTAAGTTTTCCCCAGTTCCCCAGTTTCGATTCTCCAGGTTGAACACCTATTAACTTTGTTTTTTTGTTTTTATTTGTTTCCAGTGAGAAGGAAGAGTTGGACTTGCAGTTACGGGCTGTACCGGAATTGCAACGCCGTGTTGCCGAGTTAACGGCTTAGTTTCTTAAGTTTATATGATTTATAACTATCATTATTATAGCGTTGAAATGTATGATGTGTATAATGTCCACTTATAAATGTCATTGGCCAATCCAATCCAAGACTTAAGTCTTGGTATTCCACTACCGTAGCGGACCCCTAATAACAACCAATTAGGGTCTGTTCTATCAACATTCGAATTCTCACGATGTTCAGATGAGCTCGCCCTTTGCGGCCCACACTGATGTCGTTTAATATCCCTACGTCATACTATCTTGGTTGATCTGGTTTGCCACGGAATATCAGCTTATTCAATACTTAGGATCGTGACTCGGCAGTCTTGCTTCATTTCCTTTTTTTTTTAACTTGTATTCTATATCTTGAATATACCTATACACCTTATAGAACAAAACCAGCTGAAAGTCTATATCCAAAATGGCTATCTCAAAGGTAAATACCGACAATCAAAAAAGAAAGATCATTATCTTCTCTGGTATGTAAATTCCCTGATATTCACCGTCGCCAAAACCCTAGCCTATACCATCCTATACCATCCTATACCATCCTATACCATTCTATACTATCGCAACTATCCAAACCCTATAATCCCAACTATAAAGTCCCAGAACTAAAACCCCCCAGACTTCGACGGGACAATCTTCCTACAAGACACCGGCCATGTCCTAGTAGACAACCTGGGCTGCGGCGCAGCCTACCGCAACAAACTCGAAGAGCAATTCGAAACCGGCAAGCGATCCTTCCGCGACATCTCAGACGACATGTGGGGATCCCTCAGCATCCCCTTCGGCGACGGCTTCGACCTAATGGAAAAGAACCTCCAAATCGACCCTGGCTTCCAAGAATTCCACCAATACTGCGTCCGCGAGGGATTCCCCTTCAACGTAATCAGTGCAGGCCTAAAGCCCGTTCTACAGCGCACGCTGGATATCTTCCTAGGCGAGAAAGAGGTAGGGTATGCATCCATATCCCACAATCTTCACCCACTAACAACATTTCCAACAGGCTTCCTCAATCGAAATCGTCGCAAACGACCTAAAAGCCCCAGGCGGAATCCCCTGGAAACCCGTCTGGCGTGACAACACCGCCTCCGGCCACGACAAGGCCGCGAGCGTGAACAAAGCACGCACAAAGGCCCAAGCGGAATGCGAACCGGACGAGATCCCGCTCATTGTATTCATCGGCGACGGCGTCTCCGACCTCGCCGCTGCCCGCGAGGCAGATGTCCTCTTTGCGCGTCGCGGTCTGCGGCTCGAGAAGTACTGTCTTGAACATGGGATCCCGTATACGCCGTTTGATACCTTTGCCGATGTTAAAAGGGATGTTGAGGCGATTAGTCTCGAGGATCAGAAGAAGACTGGTGGGGTTGGGAAGCCGGTGCGGTATAACCCGCGTGCGAATATGTGGAGGAGGATTTCTAGTAAGGAGGCTGTATGTTGTACTCGTCTACCCTTGTATTAAAAGGACGAAAGAAAGAAAGAAAGAAAGAAAGAAAGAAAGGGGGTTTGCTAATGGTGGTTATTGTAGGTTCCGACGCTTATGGCTACGGCTACGCCTACGCGGGATGAGAAGATGGCACTTTGGCCGGATTATTTCTCTGAGCCTGTACAAACTCAAATTGAGTCGACGATTCAGGAGTGATGGTGTTGCTTGGGGAGTTTGACGGATTTTATGGTTTGATGTTGTCATGATCGGATTTCTTTTTGGTTTCAATGTTGGCTTTTGGCATGGAGTGGGTGTTGGTTCGATATTTTCAGTTATTACTGCCTCGAGGTAGGAACCTTTCTTCCTGGGTTGTACATAGTGCTGTATATCGAGATTAGGTTGTATATATATATATATATACCTAGTTCTATATAGACCAATTGCATATAAAGTCTTCTGATAAAATGGTGCATGGCATGTATATAAAAAAAAGAATCGATATAC